TATAAGGAATTAGTTTTAAACATAAAGTTGCATAAATATGTGTAGAAGTAGTTAAATGTATGTGTAGGTTTTTCAAATAGTGTATTTGTTTATCAGTGTCTAGTACAAGTACCTATATTATTCGATTGTGAAGTTTGTGTTGATAATAGATAATTTTTTGTGTTTGTTGAAAGTTAAAAACAGTAAGTTTTCGCAAAAATGTGTCCTACAACGACTAGATTCAGGTAATGACCATAGGCAGTACTCAAGTTACGAGAATTGACCCAAGTCAAAGGTAGGTAATGTAAATATTATGTACTTTAATGGATCTTTTATTGATTTTCTTGTTTGATAATTCTTAAAAATATCAACTTAGACTTCGGATTGTACTGATTTACATATTAATTTATTATTAATAATTATGTAATGTAATAACAAATGTACCGCTTATAAATACTCGGCTCGGCCACAGCCGGCCGCGCTTGTTATTGTTTTGTTTGTTGGTAGGTACCTACGTTCTTAAATTCGTAATATATTATGATTTTGAATAGATTATCTAGCAATTCGATAATTGAATTTGGTTCATCAAATTTATGCTTCATTATTAGTATAATTAATAGATGTTCAATTATTTGTAAGTTTTGTTGGCTTATTCCATAGCTGATGAAGTAGTTCACAAAAAATACGCGAGATGTCAGTGTATGTAATTTGGCGACAGAATAAACCACAATATTCGTGAACGCACTTTTCAAAATGTATTCTGTACATGTACCTGTCTTGTGTGAGTATGATTGTCATTGTATGATCGGGGGGGAGGGGTTTAATCTAAAGGGGGTTAATCATACGATATTTAATTGCCTACCCTGTCTCGAAAACCTGTGCACGCCACTGCTCGCACAACTTCTCGACGTGCAGGAGTAGGAACGGGGTGGTTTTTAGTCAGTAAGAGTCTGACACTCCCTCCCGCCTCACCCAGGTGGGAGCAGTCAGTCGATGATTTTCCCCCCTTAAAAAAAAAAAAACACTCGCACAACTTCATGCATTCTTTGCACACAGTCCTCTGAGCTTGACGCAAATATATCAAACTCTGGTAATGATGCCAGAAGACTTATGACTTACCTCTGAATGTTTAGCAGCCACATGAGCTTGATATGACTTGTTGTAATTAAACCCAATCAGACAGCTCTCACATTTATACTCCGCCTTCATATACGTGTCTCTGGTCGATTCTCTATCTCTTTCTACTAACAACTCTTCATATGTAAGCTCTATAGTTAGTATCTTTTGGCGCAGATCTTTCATAGATTTCGTCTGTAAAATGAAAGAGAGAATTAGGAAGGTAACGCGATAAAATTATTTTTGAAAACTAATTGGGATGATGACAGGGTATGAAAATTAAAACTATAATTAGTCCGTAAGTTAGGTAATGTAAAAATTTTAGACACATATTTTTTTATTTTGTCGTATAATAAAACAAAACTCAGATAATACGAATCAAAGTTTAGGAGTGGAGGCTAAAACGTCATTTCTACGTATAAAATGTACATAGAAGTGACGTCACGCGACAATACAAATCAATATATCGTCGAAAGTATTCGTTTCTGTAAAAAAATAAAAAATACGTGTCTAATGATTTAAATAATCAACCAGACGGACATTAAAATAAAAATTAGGCATCTGCTATTACGTGTAATATAAGCTAAAACAAATAATTAATAAAAATATTTTAATGTTAAACAATTTATATGAGCTCTGTTCTACCACTCAAGCGCTTTCGTTTGTTATCTATAATGAAGGTAATTGTGGAAAAATTAGATTATATTGTATGGTGATCAAGAACACTGAAAAATATGGAACGAATTTTCAATTTTTAGAAAACTAAGGACAATAATATGTATATTCTGGAACCCATCAGAATATACATATAGTCCGGACAGAAAATATGTTATTTTTAATCTATATTTTGTATCGACAATATAACAATACAGACTATCAGCGCCATCTATCTCATAGTATGTAACACTCTCCTCAGTTCATTGTCTGTTGCTCAAGCATTTTCATTTTATAATAAAATAATAATATAATTATGATAGGAGTCGAACTTCGATAGGCTTTTTAATATTAAATTAATTTACTAAGAACATTCTGTAATGTAGAATGAATTACATTTGACTATTTATTTTAACACATTATCAAAACAAAAATCGATAAATTAGAAAAAGCCTAGGCCGTTCAAGTATTACGTAAGCACCATGGGGGGTGGGAGGGTTTCTGTTTTGCTTATTTCGGATGATATGGGGGGTAGATGATGATTACGTCATCGGTAGTTATTTACTTTTTTACACGAATGGCAACCCTCATATTGAAATTATAAATTAAAAGCAAAGACCGACAAAGAACTAGACATTATGGCATTTGGAGAATATTAAAATTACAATATAAAAAGATATAATTTAAAATGTTTACGTAAGCAAAGGGGGAGGGGGTAAGATCTTTGCTTACTTTTGCTGATAAGGGGGTTGGGGGGGGGTAAATCATTGTAAAAAATCTGCTTACGTAATATTTGAACGGCCCCCTACCAATAGAAAACAATTACTCAAAATGAGAGCTACTGTATTTTTGCTCACTACATGGCGCTAGTATTGACTGAGTGCCTTGTTGGCCGAGTGGTTGCAAGTGCGACTGATAAGGGGTCTCGGGTTCGATTCCCGGATCGGGGAAAGTATTACTGGGTTTTAAAAAAATCTCAGTAGTAACACGGAGTCTGGAATTGTGCCCGAGGATATGGCAATCGGCTAACCCCTACTACGAGTACATGGGACTCATAACATAAATAGCGGAAAATGGGTTGTTACATTGTACAGTGGCATAAAGAAAGAAAGAAAGAAAGAAAGAGTTTATTTCACACGCTAAAAAAACAGTATGTGCACCTCTGCCTACCCCTTCGGGGATAAAAGGCGTGATGTTATGTTATGGCGCTAGTGTTGGCTCTCCCACTTTGTCCAAAAGGGAATCAGCTAGAGTCACACCATTGGACGTCAAATATTTAACAGCTGAAGGGATTGGACAAAAGACTGGCGATTAACAAAACGATAGCCATAGCCTCCATAACCGTAGAACCTAACGGGTAACCGGGGCTCCAGCTCGACGTGCACGAGAAGGAACGGGGTGGTTTTTAGTCAGTAAGAGTCTGACACTCCCTCCCGCCTCACCCAGGCGGGAGCAGTCATTCGATGATTTTCCCCCCTTAAAAAAAAGCCTCCATAACCGAATACTTCTTCTACTAACCTTTTTCCTTGTCACTTTCTTAACTTTCTGCGCTTTAGTGCTGTCTTTCTTCCTCTTCTCTCCCTTCTTCACGTCACAAACAATATTCCGAATGTCAGCTTCCATTTGTTTCGTATTGTCAGATGAATCCGACATAATGGCATTATCGTCGTCGCCTAATGCATTTGTGTCTTCTGAAAAAAAAAAACCAAGAAAGTTAAGTTTAAACTGTCAAACACCGCGAGGACACCGGTGACCGCAACCTATTGTTCTAAAATTGTGTCTATAATGACGGTACTTGACGAGTTAAGATAAATAATTTAAGCCTTGTAGGTAACAAGAACATATTTAATAAAACCTTTCAATCGATCTTCTTTACATTATCTTGTATTGGCTATGTGCAAAGCGAGTAGTGGCGGTCAGATAACGACCGCAGCGCACAACACGGCAGAAATTGGAAACAAATGCGGATGATCAGCTGTCAAATGTGTTGATTGCAGTACAAAATCAAAGCAAAGAAATGGACCATGGCTCGTATTAAGTAGCTCTGGCCGTTATGTCGCAGTTCTTCCACATTTCTTACATGCTCGGCTAATACTAATTTATTGCCTTTTGTCTCAGTTTGTGGTTGGAAACTAATATTATGTGTAATCGTTTCAAACCCGGTTTTTATTATTATTATTATATTGATTATACAGTAAAATTATTGAATAAATTGCACTTAAATAATGTCCACAATACTATTTTAATGTTTGATTTTATTTATATTTGAAAAGAAAATTATAATGTTTACATTGTTATTATTTGACAGCTTCCGCAAATGTTGTAAACGCTACGCGTCGCCACCGTCGCGCACACAGCCAATAGAAGCACTTTTTAATGGATTGTCAGTATGTATATGTGAGCACCATGTTAGACTATAAGATTATAAGAACAAACTAATGTAAAACAAGACTATAGCTTCTATAGTAGTGAACGACGCGCTCAAGTAAAATGGTTACAATTGCATATTACTAGCTGACCCCACAAACTTCGCCCCCGGAGTTTCAGGAACATTTCAAGACCAAATTTACCCAATTCAAATTTTAAGTGTGGGAGAGCCATGCTTCGGCACGAATGGGCCGGCTCGACCGGGGTGATACCACGGCCTCACAGAAAACCAACGTGAAGCAACGCTTGCGTTGTGTTTCGTCGTGTGAGTGGGGTTACCGGAGGCCCAATTACCTTCCCCTTCCCCAATCTCTCCAATTCCTTAATCCCCAACGATCCTCAAACTCCTAATCCCCAAAAAGCCGGTAACGCACTTGTAACGCCTCTGGTGTTCCAGGTGTGCATGGGCGATGCCGATTGCTTACCATCAGGTGATTCATCTGCAGGTTTACCGGATTATGCCATAAAAAATCAAGTTTTAGCGAGACTAACAAACAAACAAACAGACAATACTAAAGTTACCGATGTAGCCCAAAGGATTAGCAAGCTGAAATGGCAGTGGGCCGGTCACATTTGTCGAAGAACCAAGAACCGTTGGGATAGACATTCTGGAGTGCAGACCGCGTCTAGGCAAACGTAGTGTAGGGCGCCCTCCAGCTAAGTGGAGTGGCGATATACGTAAAGTCCCGAGGCCTTAAAGAATAGTTCTCGTTCCTATAGCATACAGACATCGTGTGTCGGGTTTCAAATTATCGTTTTACTGAATGTAAGTCAAAAAGATTCAATGATGCATACAAACATTCATCCCTTATTTTAGCCCCTAGGGGGTGTAAATGATCAAAATTGCTACAGGATGCTTACGTCAGAACATCTACCTGCATGCCGAATTTCAACCCGATCGGTGGACAACTGATAAAGTTTCGTAGAAACTTTCATCCCCTATTTAAGCTCCTTGGGGGTGGAAAGGATCAAAATCCTTTCTTAACGGATGCCTACGTCATAACATCTAGCGTATCGTATCGTTTGCTAAATTTCTATGCTAAAGAGCGTACGGCGCGTCGCATTCCGCGCGCGCCTCAAAGAGCCATCAGACCACCACAGATGGGGCCCAATAGGGCCGATGCCGATTCGGAGTCGCGGAGAACCTAACGGGTAACCGGGGCTCCGGCTCGACGTGCAGGAGAAGGAACGGGGTGGTTTTTAGTCAGTAAGAGTCTGACACTCCCTCCCGCCTCACCCAAGCGGGAGCAGTCATTCGATGATTTTCCCCACTTAAAAAAAACGTCCGATCCGTCCAGTGGTTTGGGCTGTGTGTTGATAGATCACTATGTCAGTCAGTCACCTTTGAATTATATATATATAGATCTATGTAAGTAAGAATATAATACCTTTCTCCTCCCATTCCTCTTTAAATTTGTCTTTGACACACACCATAGGTACTTGTGGGACTGTTTCGAATGCTTCTGGAGGTAAGTCAGTTGCTTCTAAAGTGATATTCAAACGAGATTCACTCCCATCCGATGACAGACAGTCTTCTAGAACCTAGTGACGGAAAAAATAATAATATCATAACATCACGCCTTTTATCACCGAAGGAGTAGGCAGATGTGTACATTATGATAATTCATGCCACTGTACATTGTACAAGTACAAGTGCGACTACTGGGCAAGGGGTCTCGGGTTCCATTCCCGGGACACGCAAAGTATTACTGGGTTTTAAACAAAATCACAGTAGTAGCATGGAGTATTAAATTGTGCCTATGGCAATAGGCTCACCTACTATTTTTTTTTAAACGTTACCCCACACTAGAATTGTCTCCTGTGTCGTGTGTGCGTTGACAAACATACAAGTTCACATACATATCACACACAGACTCGAAACAACTATCTGTGGATCCCACAAAGAGTTGTTCCGTGCGGGAATCGAACCCGCGACACTGCGCGACAGCAAGTTACCCAGCTACCGCGCCAACAGTGCCGACACAAAACTTTGCCCCCTATTACATGGGACTCGTAACATAAATAGTGAAAAGTGGGTGTTACATTGTACAGTGGCATTAAGTGCCGTAATGTGCACCTCTGTCTACTCCTCCGGGGATAAAAGTTAAATTTTATACTACAGAAGATTATTCTTTACTCACCTTGCTTATCTTCTCCTTCTTAGCTTTCTTAGTTTTAGTGCCAACTCTCTTTCTCCTTTTTCCGCTCTTCATGGAACACATTACCTCTATATCCCGGATGTCAGAATCAGAATGTTTCGTATTGTCAGATGAATCTGACAATATGCCATCGTCTTCCAACGTGTTTTCATCGTCTGAAATGTAAGATTCATCTATATATATTTTATTTTTTATAAATGATTACTTTAATTTAAGTGTGAGAGAGCCATGCTTCGGCACGAATGGGCCGGCTCCACTGGATACCACGACCGAGCAGAAGACCGACGTGAAACAACGCTTGCGTTGTGTTTCGTCGTGTGAGTGAGGTTACCGGAGGCCCAATTACCTCTCCCTCCCTTTCCTAATCCCTGAATCCCCAACAATACTTAAATTTCTAATCCCATAAAGGCCAGTAACGCACTTGTAACGCCTCTGGTGTTCCAGGTGTCCATGGGCGACGCCGATTGCTTACCATTAGGGTGGTTACTCTTGAAACCAATCTCAATGTCAATGCAATTTTAAGAATTGTTTAAATACATCTTATCTAATACTATTATATAAAGTGGAAGAGTTTGTTTTTTTGTTTGTTTGTTTGAACGCGCTAATCTCCGTAACTACAAGTCTGATTTGAATAATTCTTTTTGTGTTGGATAGCGCATTTATCGCGGATGGCTATAGGCTATAAAACATCACACTACAACCAATAGGAGCTGAGCAGAGCGTGTGAAACCGCGCGGAAGTAGCTAGTTTATAATACAGCTCATACCATCATTCTTCGATTCCTGTTTGAATTCATATTTAAGGCAATTAATAGGATCAGTAAAAGTTTCCAAGCCTTCTAAGGGCAATATGTTCACTGGATCAGTTTTATGTAGCTTTAATCGAGGTGGACGACTCACATCGGAGAGTAGGCATTCATGGAGATTCTGAAAATAAAATACCACATTAAATCGCCACACATTCCTGAAAAATTCCTAAGAAATCCCGAGTCGGGCAAAGTATTACTTGGTTTTTCAAAAAATTCACAGTAGTAGCACGGAGGCTGGAATTGTGCCCGGTATATGGCAATAGGCACACCCCCTATTACATGGGACTCATAACATAAATAGTGAAAAGTGGGTGTTACATTGTACAGTGGTATACTGTACACCTCTTCCTATTCCACACTCGAGAGAGCCATGGCACAAATGGGCTGGTTCGACCGGAGTGGTACCTCGGACGAGCAGGAAACCATAGTGAAACAACCACAGCATTGTGTTTTATTCTGTGAATGAGTGTCAGAGGCCCAATTACTCCTCCCCTCCTCAATCATCAACAATTCTCAAATTCTTAATCCCTAAAAGGCCGGTAACGTACATGTAATTCCTCTGGTGTTCCAGGTGTAAATGGGTGACGCCGATTGCTTACCATCAGGTGATCTGTCTGCTCGTTTGCTGGCTTATCCCATAAAAGACCTATCTTAGCGTAGAGGTTTTTTTATATGTTTGATGGGCCGAAGTTAACCACTATCTCAACTGGTGGTAAGCGATGATACGGTCTACGATGGAGCATGCTGACCCATATGCTTAGGTGTTACTTTAAATTTAGGTAAAGGTTGGTGGAAAGGGACATTAGTTTAAATAAAAGGTTACTCTTTCTTCTTTCTCACCTCATTGGTGTAAGTTTGTAATATCCGGTATGAGTCCTGCACCTGCTCCCTGAAGGACACACTCTTTTGTAGCAGTGCTTTACACTCCCAGCATATCAGCAGATTTACTGTTGATGGATTGTACAGCTGAAATTAAAATAAGAAAAGTAATTATTAGATAAATAGTTTTTATATAGTAAACAAACTGTTGTATAAAGTACGTTTTGAAAAACCCACTTCAACCCCCCCCCCCCCACTTGGTTTTTATGTCAGTTAATTAATGTAGTACAGACTTCTCCTAAGAGTAACAAATATTTTACACTAAAAACGGCATTCAAATTGGTTCAGGCATCGCGAGAAAAACAAAAAATAACACTAACGTAACGGCTTTTAATGCCACTGTACAATATAACACCCACTTTTCACTATTTACGATGAGTCCCATGTAATATGGGGTTTGCCTGTTGCCATATACCAGGCACAATTCCAGATTTCGTGCTAACGTTGTAAATTTTTTTAAAACCCAGTAGTACTTTGCCTGACCCTGGAATCAAACCCCAGACTCATGGCCCGGCAGTCGCACTTGCGACCACTCAGCCAATGAGGCGGTCAGTTTGCAAGAAAAACACACACAAACATGCATGAACATACACATTGAACTGAGAAACTCTTGTTTTTTAAGTCAGTTAAAATCCATACTAATATTAAAAAGCTGAAGAGTTTGTTTTTTTGTTTGTTTGAACGCACTAATCTGCAAAACTATCTGTCCGAAATCAATAATTCTTTTTGTGTTGGATAGTACATTTATCGAGAAAGGTTATAGGCAACATAACATCACGTTACGATGATTAGGAACCGAGTAGAGTGGGTGCAACCGCGCGCAAGTGTTTAGTTGTTAATATTTCTCGTAATAGTGGAGCGTTTTATTGTTGTAATGCAGCATTAGTTTAGCCAGTGCCTCCTTTACTATTAATGTATTACAAATTATCTATGTATTCGACTGAAACACTTGTATCTATGACCATGAATAAAATTAAAAAAAAAAATTGCCTGTGCCTTTATCGAATTCCTGTGGGATAAAAAGTATGCTGTGTTATTCTAGACCATAATCTACCCCTATTCCAATTTTCATCCTGATCCCTTCAGCCGTTTTGAGGTATAGAAGGAACAAACATACAAACTTTCGCTTTTATAATAGTAAATTAGGAGGATGATTTTTAATTTGATTTTTTTGATGACCTGACAAATTAATGTGACTAATATCGTGAGCAAAAGTACAACTGTTCCTTCAATACTTAGGTAGATGATAAACTAAGCAATTGTTTTACAACATGTGTGATGTTTACTTACAGGAATTTCACTCAAAGCATTCAAGTAGTATTTTACTGTTTTCTCATCAGATATTTCATGTAGCTTCCTTCCAACACAAAGGCAAGCATTGCAAAGCAGCTTATAGCATATTTGTTCCTCTTTAATATTCATTTTAGTGATAAATTATTAACATTTGTTAATTTTTTTGTTCATATTTATACCCGTGGTCCAATTTCTCTAAGAACTAAGAATAAATAAAAATTATGAATGAAAACCGACTAATGCACGGCTCAAAAGGTAGGTAATTTAAACATTAGCTTGTGTGAAGTATTTGATGTTTTACGCTTATTAGAACTCTGTTTCTATTTAATTCTTTTTAAATCTACATGTACACAACAAACAACACAAATCGATGCCATTTTGAAAGTTGAAACTAGTGTTGGACCCTTTTGGTTTGGCTGTCAAGTGAAAAGAAAACGATATTATCGGTTTTGTAGTGAACTGTTGAAACAAAGAAAATAACGCGTAAACAAAATAATTATTTATTAAAGTTGTCAAAGCATTGTATTATAACTGTTGATTTAATTGTAGAAGTTATTATTACTGTATATTCAAAGAGTTACCTTAATATTTTGCCAGTTCTAAGCTGATTTGATTGAATGAAACGGAATTTATAAGTCAACAAAATCAGCTGTTTGGTTTGACAGTAGTACAAACAAAAAGAAAACAAAATATTCTCAGTGTAAAATATGTTCTATATTCAAATAAGTATTTAGTTTAAAAATAGTAATACCCTACGAGAACTTTTCTATAATCCTATTAATGTTACTGAAAATTCGTACATAATTAAATTAAGTAAAAAAATAATGGAAGAAATTGAAATAAAATATGAATTTCCTAATGAAGACAATCAATGCTCAGTCTGTCTAAGTATTGGAAGGAAATTGTTTCCATTAGATCAGTGTGTGAACGTGTTTAGGCTACTAACTTCGAAATTAGAAGTTTATGTAAGTTTTATAAGTATTTATTAAGTTATATGTACTTACAGACTTACATACATACATACAAAACTTCACCCCTGTCTCCCTTGGGGGTAGGCAGAGACTATGGAACACCAATTGCTACGATTCCTAGCTACATACCGCTTTTGCTTCATCACCAATCATCAATCTTCATGTATGCTCATCAGTCAAGGGTACTTTTAATTTAGCCCTTCTTTAATATATCGCCGATCTGGTCAGTATGTCTCCGGTCTTATCATCTTACAGACTCACTCATTATGTTATCAGCCAATACGTATCCACTGTCTTATACAGTCCTCCCCCAATTACTGCCAGATTCACTGGTTGGATGGAATCGACATACTTCATAATATCCCAGCTTCAATAACATCCCTGCTACCTTCATCAATGTGTTAAACTATTGCCAAATTTCAAGGCTATATGCAAAACACTTAACTTGAAATATCGTACGAAAAATCCACAAAATTTGTTCATAATAAAAATGTCTAGAGACTACCTAATCTCTAGTTTATTTTATGGGATAAGCCAGTTAATGAGCAGATGGATCACCTGATGGTAAGCAATCAGGGTCGCCAATGGACACCAGAAACACTTGAGGTGTTACAAGTGCGTTATCGGCCTTTTGGGGATTAGGAATTTGAGGATTGTTGGGGATTCAGGGATTTTGGAGAAAAGTGGCGTAGGTAATTGACCATCCAGTAACCTCCCTTCCCTTGTTTCACTATGGTTTTCTGCTCGGCTGTGGTATCACTCCGGTAGAGCAGGCCCATTTGTGAGCAAGCAGGGCACTCTTACTCTTTAAAGATCATAAATAAGGTTTATAATGGAGTGTCAATGAGTGCAGAGCGGTCACTGTACAATGTAACACCCACTTTTCACTATTTATGTTATGAGTCCCATGTAATAGGGGGTGAGCCTATTGCCATATACCTACCGGGCACAATTCCAGACTCCGTGATATTACTGAAATTTTTTTTAAAACCCAGTAACACTTTGCACGGCCTGGGAATCAAAAGTCTTATATATTTAAAACAAAATTTAAAAATACAATTACATAAACCTTTGACTTTAGACTTGATAAATATGGAATAGTAGTCTTAAAATACAGCAAAAAACGAACGAACAAAAAAGATTTCAAAACATGATCATTATTTTAAAAATTATTAATTATATTTCACTTAAGTTCATGTCAATAGCTTAACCCGTTGAAATCCACCCCCTAAATTTGGTCATACAAAAGTAGTCTCTAAACATTACAAATAAGGTCTATAATGTAATGTAATATTAGTGGAAAGCGGTCACCGGTGACCGCTTGGTGATTTATGGGTTAATATTGAAGTCTCTTTCACAGATGTTAATTAAAAATAATCATACCTATTTATTTTATTTTACAGAATAACATTCCTTTAGAAAATATAAGGATATGCTGGGAGTGCCGTGCCTCTCTCTGCAAGGCTGTTAAGTTTCAGCAACAAGCTGTGAAAGCTAATGAAATGTTGCAGTTAGGTCAGGTGAGCGAGAAATTCCATCTTAAGTCTTCTCATATCCTAATTCCTATTCTACTATCCCACTTCCTATTCTACTATCCTACTTCCGATTCTACTATCCTACTTCCTATTCTACTATCTTACTTCCTATTCGACTATCCTTCTTCCTATTCTACTATTCTACTTCCTATTCTACTATCCTACTTCCTATTTTACTATCTTACTTCCTATTCGACTATCCTACTTCCTATTCTACTTCCTATTCTACTATCCTACTTCCTATTCTACTATCCTACTAC